GCTTAAATCATTTACAATGTATATATTATATAAGGGTTTTCTGCGTCAATGGTATATCCAGAGAATTCGCAGAGAAAAGTAGAAAACACACATAAAATCTAAAAAAGAGCACCGCATAGACGAGGCAACATACGTCCGATTAGTAATCATTTTTTATTTAATTTTTATTTGTTTGGGTCGTCAGACCAAACAAATAATGGTAGCGAAATTTCAGACTCTAATGCTGTTAATTGCAAATGCCGAAAGAAGTCCATTTTTTTGAAGCATTTATTTTCAAGCAAAATAATTCTCGATTGGTCGAAGATTTCTAGTACTGTTTTACTCTATATAGATATACATGCTTATAGTAAGCGCCATGATTATTTACAAAAGTATTAAACAACAGTAACAAACGCTAATTTAGAATAATTATATGTTTTTTTTCAGGCCGTTTTCATATAAATTCACCGTGGCCGAGGAGTTTGTGCGCTCGCTTCGGAAGCGATAAGTCTGAAGTTCAAATCCCAGGTAAGGCAGCTTATTTTTTAAAAATTGTTTAAGTCAAATAAACATAGGATTGAATATCAGTGTTGCAATATTAGTCTTATAGCCAATCTACAACAACTAAAACTCTGGAAATTATTGGTGGCACTATACAAAAACAAATTGTTTTATAATCTCACAACCTTCACCTTTCCGACATTCTGAGACCCAAACAAATTCAGCGTCTTCTGTGCTTTGATTAATTATAGAGGAGACCCAGGAACATTTTTAATACAAATATTAAAATAATAGTGAGGTCTATATTGATACATGCCAAATCAAAATGTTCTTGTCACATCACAAATTGTGCCCCAGATCACGGTAAGAAGCCACATTGAATTTAACAGAGCACAGTTCAGCCACTACTTCGTTCCTAGGCAGACTGTCAAACAGTTTATCAGTATTTGTTATCTTCACTTTGGCATGAAACTGAAACGGAAACTTACGTACATACTAGAGGAGAGGTAAAGTGCAAATAAACTAAAAAAGGTCATTTTCATTATCAATCACAACAAAAGTAACCTTCACCATGCGGGAATCGAACCCGGGTCGCCCGATTCACAGTCGAACCCTCAATCTATTGAGCTTACCGGATGGTTTAGTCACATCAACAGAGAGTACGTGACGTATATATACTGACTGAAAAAACAACAATGTTGGGTTTGTTTTTAAATGCCTAAAAATTATCAAAAATTAAATGCTACGATTATAAATAATTGTCTTTTTTTATTAACTCCCTTTACATTAATGAAATCACTACCCACACAGACATTCATTTGTACAAATGTGATAACTACATGTGTAAAGCTAACAATCAACCTCTTTAAAATGTTCAGAGAACTTTTTGTTGTGGTTTTAAACATGTTTGTTTCTAAACATTTGTTTAAATTGTACATAACGCAGTGCCAAAATTACGGTAAGTTTTTGTAGCAAGGGATCAATATCCTTAGGGGTCGAGAAGTCAAGAGGTCTAAGTGTCTTACTTGCTTGCCCAGTGATTGGCTCATTTTTGCTGGGGTTTACTTATTGTAATGGCAGAGAAAAGGGAAAGCGATAGAAATATCATATTCAGATGCTTGTTCATTAGTTACTTTTTTCTGGGGTTTCAAATTTTGACAATTTTACCAGCACTCGGCCATTTCCATTAAAATATACTGCAAAAAAATGTAGGTCTAAAATAATGAGAACAGTAAATACGTTAATGTTAATATATACAAATGTACATGTATCGCACCAAAATTTTTGGTATGCAAATCAATAATGGGTATTTACAAAAGCTGTAAGTAGAAAAAGCAACTAACAGTGACACTTACACATATGATTTTTCACTGACAAAAATTCACTTACTGTCAATTTACCTTCAATAACTCTTTCACTATTGAACCAAAACTTTCATGATTTCGAGGAAATATGTGTAGTTCAGAGTCCCCCTACCCCTCACCTAACTAACATTTTTATAAAATATACTCACTCTGACGGATGTTTACAATAAAAAATTCGCCATTTTTCCGTATCGTACCATTTCACATCGTTTAAAAGGTATCGTACATGTATACGTGTTCGACCCCTGCAAGCTAACATATGTTACCTGATGAAATGTTGAAGTAAAAACATTAACTTTTAAATGGAAAATTTCACGGTGCGTGATCGTGATGACAAAATTATCTATAGATGAAGCTATGTAGGTTAAGAAACATTTGGCTCTTCAAAGAATGGACAATCAATCGACATGAATAAAATGTAGTTCTATTTACGCGTTACCTTTGTTACTTTCAGGTCAGACAAACTTGATTGCTTGTCCTACATTTTTTATACAGGAACATATGGGGCGAACAGGCGAATTAATTTCTTTGAAAAGCGGAGGAGGAATATTTTTAAAAGAAATTCCTTAGATGTGTAGAACGGGCGAAGGAAAAAAATCTTTACAAAGTCTCGTTTCTAAAAAACAAATGCAAGAGGGCCATGATGGCACTGAGTCGCTCACCAGAAACAACTGCTTTTCGGTGTTGTCAATAGTTTCTATTGTAAAATTTGAGCATAGAATATGTTTTAACAATAATTTGAAGAAATGCCATGACCTGGGGCATTTAAGCTTTAGCTTTAACGGAGCCAATCAAATTAAAATGAGTAAACTTGATAAAAGACTACTTAAGAATGCTACAAAGTTTTGTGATCATCTATAGATTATTTCAGTAGGAAATGATGTTCAAAGTTTTTCAATTTTTGGTTTTAGTGGCCCCTAAAAGGGGCTAATCAAATTAATATGAGCAAACTTGATAAAGACTACCCAAGAATGCTGCAGACAAAGTTTGGTGATCATCTATCAATTTGTTCTGTAGAAAAAGATGTTTAAAGGTTTTTTTATATTTTCAGCCCTAGAGACCATAAAAAGGGGCCAATCACTTTAATATGAGCAAACTTGATAAAAGACTACCCAAGAAAGCTACAGACTAAGTTCATGAAGTTGGTAAATCATCAATCTTTTAGTTCTGTAGTAGAAGATGTTTAAAGGTATTTCTATTTTTGACTCTGTTGACCCCTGAAAGGGGCCAATGGAATCGACACGAGAAAAATCAAGTGTGACTGTCACACATATAGGCTTTCTACCAAATTTGAAATAAATCTGCCCAGCAGTTTCAGAGAAGACGATTGATGACGCATGACAACCGATGACAAAGCTTCCCCCTTTGATACTAAAATAGCTCACCCTGAACCTTCGGTTCTGGTGAGCTAAAAATTGGCTTACCCGTTAAAGCTTTAAAAAGTTCCTGATTTTACTTGAATCTATTGTTTTACTTAATTCTAATGAAGCTTTATATATTAAATGAACTTGTCCATATTTCAGTATGGACTAATCCATTCGATATTTGTAAGGTAAAATTAAATAAAAGGGCCATGATGGCCCTGAAATCGCTCACCTGTATATAGAAACGCTCCATGACAAGGAACAAGTAATATTGTAAACTATAAACAAAAGCAGATATAAAATGTAAATCTTAAACTGATATCACAAAGTTCATTTTTGTATCTGAAATAGTGCATGTGTAAAAACATTTGTTCTTAATACATACATGTAAGGAAAATCAATTACCCCTCCCCCCCCCCCCTTGGGAGGGGCCAATTTTGACCGTTGGCTGTTATTTGAACAAACTTGGTAGTCACTCACTTAAAATATTTCATGCTAATATCTTAGCTATATCTCTTTGGGTTTTTAAAAGAAAATCTTTTCTATACACATATATGAAAAACCAATCCCCCCCCCCCGACAGGGCCATTTTTAACCCCAAGGCTTTTATTTGAACAAACTTGGTAGACACCCATTAAAAGATGTTTCATGCTAAATATCTAAGCTATAGATCTTTGATTTTTTTAAAAGAATTTTTTTTTAAGTTTTTTTTTCTTTTTGTTGTCATGGTCCAACCAGATTTCTGCATGAAATTAAATTTTTTGAACAATTTTAAAGGCGAAATTTGCTCAGCCGTTCAGTAATGACGAAATGTTTTTAAAAGTAAAACGGACGACGGGCGGACTGACGACTAGACGCGGGGCAAAAAGCGATCACAAAAGCCGAGGATCAAGGATTTTTTTTATCATATGAGAGTCTCAAAATTTTAACAAGGGGTTTATGCATATTCCATGGGGGAGGGGGATTTAACAGATCAAGGGTCAAATGTTGCATGATTTTTTCGCTAAAAAAATGATATTAAAAGCTTTATGTAATTAACATCATACTTTATGCATATTCTAAAACAGAATAGCCAAATCCTCCGAGGGCATATGTATAACCCTTAGGCCCTCAGCCCCCCACCCCCGCTCCCCATCTACTGTGCTTGATTTATTTTCTTGCAACTGTAGAATTAAGTCCAATTACATTCAGATGATATGATTTTTACTTCAGGAAAAATAGGCGGACGTTTTGAAATTTAGGCAAAAGGTTTTCAGATTTTTTCCCTTTCCCAGCCTATATAATATAATTATGCTGATATTTACATTGAATCTAAACATTCACTTTGAATAAGTCCGAGGAAATTGTTGAGAATAGACGAGATGTACCAATTAAAGAACCTCAAACACAATATTAAGAACCCACAGAACGGATGCGGTTTTTCGGTCTTACCTACCTTTAGAGACTTAACATGTAATCAAACAGTAATTAAATGCTGGGAGCTATTGACAAAGTTTTTTTCTCAAAGAAATCAAGTGAACTACATGAATCTATATTCCATCTAAATTACGTAAATCTATGGATATAAAAGTAAATAGTACATTATATATATATATAATTATCATATGTGGTCCCCACCTGACGTTGGTTACCGTAAAACTTTCGACTAAACCAGTTTTTTTTTCAAAATAGCTCGGGTTGGAGTGACTAAAAACTACCTATGACATAATGCTAGGTGTGTTAAAAGCATTTTGAAAAATATCATAAATTTTTTCAACCTTGATCTAAGGAAATATGAAAGCGACACATAAAATTCAATTACAACTATTTTAATAAAGAGCAAATTATCTTGAGATTTCAGACAAAAATAGGAAATGAACACATACAAGACAAAAATAAACATAAAGTAAAATTCTATGCAATTTCAAATAGTTTAGTAAAATTATCACAGACATGTAAATTTAAATAGTGGCATGAAAATCTAACAGCTTGTAAAGTTCCATCGTCTTTGACAACAATTTGTAAGTTTATTTGTCCAGATTTTAAACCTGACTTCAAATTTATGGCATTTGTCAAGATTCCTGATGAAACTTCCAGTATTCTTTTCTTTTCTTTTTTGAAAAAAAAAGCATATTCACAGTAACCAATAAAAAACATGATTATCACTTGATATTTATGTTTTATTCATTCAAATAGAATAAAACATTATAGTTTAAACATATTCATTTTAGCTCCATTGCGAAACAGGTTCTTGAAACTTACAATAATCCCTTTTAAGTCCGCTTCCTAGAATAATCTAGTACAAATCTCATATGTGGAAGCATGGTCGTGACCTGAGTAGGGCTCAAACCCGCGATCCCTCGTTTAAGAGGCAGACACCTTATCCAATATCCACTGGGTCACCACTCCCCTTCATATAACCATTTCCACAAATCAATATACTATGATTAAAATAAAATGAAACAATAACATAAAAAAATTAATTAATTAGCTAATTAAAGATGTAATGAGATAATATGCATTATATCAATCAACACTTAATTAATTAATTTGTACATACTTGGATTTTTAAACACAAATACCTGTGTCCTATGTTAAATCCCTTATATCAAATCTGAATTGTCATATATTCAAATGGTATACAAGATAAGGACCTTAGTTTTTTGATAATCAAACATAGTGACATGCAAAATGACCATCGTAAAATATTTTTCATAATAAAGAAAACAAACCTGAAGAGTTTCATCAGCATGGATACAAACAAAACAATGAAAATGTTGAAGATGAATTAAATTTTTAAGTTTAAGAAGAAAGCTTATGTTTTTTCAACAAAAAATTAAACAATACCACCACTATCTATAGATCAGCAACAAAATAACAGATGGTAAAAAACAAATTCTTCCTTTCATGCTCAACAGAACATATTTCATAAATATTTATGGCAAACAATATGTTATTTGACAATTTAGAACTACACAACACACCAGGAAATCCTAGCTGATTTGTTAAAAGTTTATTAGTTTATGACATCTAATTTGAAGCCAAGCAAAACAGTTGCCAAATATGGCATAACAGAAATTCTTCATGAAAATCTACATGTCATGTACACTTTAACATAAGTCAATTCAATAATATTAATGTACACTGTTTTCACAATTTTGCTTCTGTTGAATGTATATATTAAAACAAAGCACATGTCAGCCAATTACTGCAGTACTAAACACAGAGCTGGCCAGTTACTGTTAAGATACACATGTCAGTTCTAGAATAAGATGATGCACTAGTGAAAGAAGTTTTAATCTCATTTCCAAGCAGCTGGTTTTGATGCCTTATCTCCCTTTGTTGCAGAGCCTGTAACTTTTTTATCAACTGTCTGGCTGGCAACTTTTCTCTCTATTCTCTTCTGCTGGTTAGATTTTGATGTCTGTGCAGATTTACTACCATCCTGGTGACTTCTTGAAGTGTCTACACCCTGAAATAATAAAACAAAAGTCCATATTAACTGGACAGGTCAAAATCAAATATATGAAACACAATGTCAACTGTTTCAAAAAAAGACATTGGTTTCACCTTTTAAAGAGAGTAGCATTTTCCAAGTGTTCTCAGAAAAATTGATTTTATGCTGTTGATGAATAAGATTTGTAATTAAAAGTTAGGATAAATAATTATTCTTCAAAAATAAAACTTTTTAAATGAAATTACAGGATGTAAAAGAGAGTTTGATTATGTATAATAATACTAGATGGGAATTAATAATATTGAAACAGGTCAAAAAGTTTTACACAAACCTTCCCAGGATTGAACTGTACATTTCGTCTAATTCCTGCTCCTCTATGTCTATCACCATGGCTACCAGGGGGCGCTCTTGTTCCCTTTCTCTGTTCTGGATGGTTCCCTGTATTAGGCTGAGCATGTTTTAAAAGCTCCAGAAGTTCCATGACATGTGGGTTGCTAGGTTGTGCTTGACCTTGACCTTTGACCTGGTTCAGTAATTTTGTGACCTCAGCAAGTTGATCTGGACTAAGGATCTTGTTTGAAGCTTGATCTAAAATGGAAAAATATGCTCCAATAATTTGCCATATCAATTATCAGAGACATATACAATATGTTTGCAAAATGCTGTTGTTTTTTTACCTAACTGCATGCATGTACTTGGAAAAAACTAGAACTATCGCTGAATGCGATTCATACCCCCACCAATGTCCTTGACTGAAGACGACTTGGAAAGGTGGTTAAGGGAATAACTTAAGTGGGGCTAATACATAAAAAGAAATTATCTCTGGTGAAAAAAAGACTAATTGTACAGGTAAAAGTATAAATATTTATTATCAAATCATGTTCGAAACAGTTACAAATAACCTTTCATTTCCCAATATTAAACTTTTTATAAGTCAATTTTTGACCTTAAAGTGTGGCCTTGACTTTTAGCTGGCACAAGGGTAAGATGGATTCTGCACATCGCCCAGTTGGGGTGAACATTTGAGTAAAGTTTGAAGAAAATCCTTCCATTAGTAAAGAATTTATAGAGCGGACACAACATATTGTCTAGTATTAATTGTATGTAAAAAGGGGCATAACTTTGTAAAAATGCAATACAGAGTTATGAAACTTGACCTGCATATCGTAATTGTGACATCTCATATATCTTTTAAGTTTCAAGCAAATACCTGTGCTAGATTCAGAAATATTCAAGTACATGTTAAAATTTAAGAATATTTTCTAAGTCAATTTTTGACCTTCAAGTGTGACCTTGACCTTTAGCCGGCACAAAGGTGACATGGATTCTGCACATAACCTTATTGAGGTGAACATTTGAGTAAAGTTTGAAGAAAATTATTCGTTTAGTGTAGGATTTATAGAGCAGAAACAACATATTGCCTAATATTTGATTTTATGTAAATTTGAAGACTCAAAAAAGGGGCATAACTTTGTTAAAATGCAATACAGAGTTATGAAACTTGACCAGCATATCTTAATTGTGACCTTTCATATATATTTTAAGTTTCATGCAAATACCTTTTCTAGATTCAGAAATATTCATATAAAGGTTAAAATTTAAGAATATTTTCTAAGTCAATTTTTGACCTTCAAGTGTGACCTTGACCTTAAGCTGGCAAAAGGGTGACATGGGCTTTGCACATTCCCTTGTTGAGGTGAACATTTGAGCCAAGATTGAAGAAAATCTTTCAATTAGTGTAGGAGTTACAGAGCGGACACGAAATACTGTCTAATATTTGTTTGTTTGATATCTAACCTTTAATTGTGACCTTGACCTTGAGCCGACACATGGGCAACATAGGTTCTGCACATCTCTTTGTTGAGGTGAACATTTGAGCCAAGTTTGAAGAAAATCCTTCAATTATTGTAGGACTTACAGAGCGGACACAACATATTGTGTAATATTTGATTGTTTGATATTTGACCTTTAATTGTGACCTTGACCTTGAGCTGACACATGGCCAACATAGGTTCTGCACATCCCCTTCTTGAGGTGAACCTTTGAGCCAAGTTTGAAGTAAATCTTTCCATAAGTGTAGGAGCTACAGAGCGGACACGAAATACTGTCTAATATTTGATTGTTTGATATTTGACCTTCAATTGTGACCTTGACCTGACACATAGGCAACATAGGTTCTGCACATCCCCTTGTTGAGGTGAACATTTGAGCCAAGTTTGAAGAAAATCCTTCAATTATTGTAGGACTTACAGAGCGGACACGACATACTGTCTAATATTTGATTGTGTTTGATATTTAACCTTCAATTGTGACCTTGACCTTGAGCTGACACATGGGCAACATAGGTTCTGCACATCCTCTTGATGAGGTGAACATTTGAGCCAAGTTTGAAGAAAATCCTTCAATTTGTATAGGAGTTATAGAGCAGACACGAAAAATGGAGACGGACGGACGGACCGACCAACGCAACAAAGCGAATCCATTAAAGCCCCCCCCCCCACATTTTGTGGTGGGGGTATAAACATATTTGTTGAATATGTTCGATCAAGTATTTATTGTCTGCAAATAAACAAAAATACTTAGAATGTAAAATATATCATTTTATTCACATACATGTACTTAGATTTATTATATTTGACAATTGTGAAAATTCAATTACATGCACATTTATGTCACTGATGGCAAAATATCATTCTGATTAGTGAAATAACATCAACCAATATTTCAAGTGAATAAAATCCAAAATTATCTTATGGAGTTATTTCACTGTCAAGGTAACAGAATTATGTCTGATGAAAACTGTATTTCCTTACCATTTGATGATCCTGATGAATTATTGTGATCAGCTTTCGTATCTGCTTCATGTTGACCATTCTGTTTACTTGCCTTTTCCTGAATCAGACACACAAATGACATTTATAGACATAAAAGTGACATTTAAAGACACACAAATGACATTTAAAGACACACAAAGGACATTTATAGACCAAAAAGTTACATTTATAGACACAAAAGTGATAATAACACACATAAACAATATAACAACCGAAGCTCAAAATACTAGCTAGATAGCTTCCTCACAATATAGAATTTGAAGTCCCTGGCAGAATTCGAAACCAACAGCAGCTAGAGGCAAGTGATTTGAAGTCAATGACCTTAACCACCAAGCCACTGATGCCCTCAGACTTGACAATGATACTACATATATAAAGCCATATAATTATAGATAAGGCCATATAATTAAAGGTTTTTTTCCCCCAAATCCTACTAACCTGTTTCTTTCTAAGTTCCTGAATCCTATCTAATTCTCTATGTAACTGGGCAGCTTGGGCTGTGTCATTCAGATCAAATTCTTCTGAAAAAATTAAAAACAGATATACCAAGTTTATATACTTATTTCAGTAAATGTTTAATCAAGATTTATGAAAATATAATACATTTCTTATCTATTTATACTCAATCAAATTAAAACCACGAAACAAGTGATAGACTTATAAATCTTTATTTTTGGCATAACTGGCTAAGAAACATCAGACCAAATGAATGATTATATGATAACTATATAACTAAAACTGGAAATAAGACACATACATGTTAAAACCATTAAGTATGGTGTAATCCGAGCCAGTATGCCTCCTTCTTTCTTGGTATTGGCTTACGAGCCTTATTCCCATTAGAGACATACTGACAAGATCTTAACCAGAAGGCACTGTTCTTCAAGGTGATAGATGGGGATGGATGGTGGTGTAAAACTATTTTTCTAAATAAATGTGCTTGTATTTTGTTTTTTGTTGTTGTTTTTTGGGGTTTTTTTTTATAAACATTCGAGGAAATTACAATTTTTCACATACAAATTTTAAATTGCAGATTTCGTGTGAAGAAAATATTTATGGTGATTTAAGCAATACTAATTGGTAGAAAAAAATATTGAAGAACTAACATAAACAGGTTAGTTCAAGGAAAATTACAGATATACAAAAAAAATAAAAAATTGAATATAATTTCAAATATTGAATATACATACCATTATCTATGGAGAACATGGAGTCATTCTGTTCCCTGTTACTGACCTCCCCTGGAGATTTGTGTAATAACTGTAAGTAAAATACAATATGACAGTTTATTTTATTATGTATTATTTCCTTTTTGGTCAGATTTTATATCTTTCTGAAAACATCATACATGGACTTTCAAGTTAAACTAATAGGTGGAAAAATATTTGCTACTTTGACTTACTTAATTCGCCTGCAGAGCTATGTTCGTAACAGACTATCCAGTTAGTTTAAAGGAAATCCCTGGTTTTACTTGGGTTGTGCTTTCTTATTCCTGAGGTATTACATTAGAGATACAGGCTAGGTCTTCCTTCCTCGACCTAGGTGCCATTATTCCAGGTGTTGTCTTTAAAGTGAGAGTACCAAGCTAATTAGATTGCTACCTTTCAAGATAAAGGTTGCAGAATAAATAATATGTAACAGCACAGGTGCCTGACATCTAACACCCCAACCCCACTACCCTACCCCTATATACATGTATTATAATAAATATAGATATAAGAAGGTAAGAAGAGGATATATTAGATGTCAGGCACCTGCATGTAACAGGTATCAACCTACCATTTGTATATAGTGTTGTAATTCTTGCTGATGAGATTCATGTTGTTCCAGCCTCTCTGATAAATGACTGTAATCTTCATTTAACCTGAATTGAATAAATATATCTGTCTTATTGCAAATGTTACAGAAGTCATGACTTGATGACAATGATTAAAGTCTGGGCCTGCATTCCATGAGCATTGCTCCCCATTTGTGCATATATCTTTATCTTTGCACACTTTTTATCTCTTTTGAATACCAGGAAAATTATTGCATCATGGTAAGAAAACAAAAGAAAATTCAATATATATGTGAACACATTTGCTTTTGCATGGGTCCTAAAGTCCTACAGGGCATTTCGAGCATTAGAAGACAAAGATCCTGTACAGCAAATTTGTTCATTAGTCAAAAAATGAGCTGCCTTATTCAAGTGAATTAAATGCCCTTGATGAGACTAGCTAAAACACTTGTAACAACTGTTAGCTTTCTATACCAATTTCTTACAGTAACTTGCAGACTCTATACTGTTAACTGCCCAATCCTATTGACACTGAAATGAACAGAGATTTCTTCATACAAAGTAGTTCAAGCTCAATATTTTGATTGTTAAATAAAATAGTCATTTGACCTACCTGTCTGACTGGTTGGTGAGATCTTCCTGGGAACCACTTTCTTTATTTTGTTTTGTTGGTGGTGAAAAACTTTGTCCTCCTTGAAAATAACCATAAGCTGTAATTAAATACTTTTTATTTTATAATTCAGGTCAAAGAATTATATTACACAGCCAAAATAATTATATTTTTTTTCTCTCATGAAAATTTGTCAAAACTCTTTTAGAGGTATTGAATGAGATATAATGTACAATACTATATAATCATTTCAAACATATGACCAATAAATGTATTTAAAACAGGTAACAAGGCAAGGATCATTTTTTCAATTTCACATGTAACTATTGGATATACATGTAACTATAAAAACATCTGTGTCAAAAGAACATAAAGCATGTACAATTTTTACTTCTGACTTTACTGTGTAATTTTTCAAAGAAGCAGCCTACCTGATGGTTTTGTCTGTTGATAATCAAGCATGTATGGATCTGGTCCTTGCTGTGGTGGGTGGAGAGGTACTGCACGAGAGATCCCTGAGGCTCCTTCCCAATGTGCCCCACCCTCTTTTTCACTCAGCATGGAGAAATTGATAGCAGTAGCTTCACTTACAACACTTCCATTAATATGACTCACGCTTGCCTGTGACACGGTGCTTGCATTAAACTTTGGTCTCTCTACTTGACTAGCACTTGAAGTTACTTGTGACCTAGATGTGGCCAAATTTAAATTTGGAGGTAAACTAGCACTTATTGGATTAGATGGTAGATTCTGATTGGTTAAAATAGAGTTAGGTTGAGAATATGATGTCTCTGATTGGTTGACTGGAGCATATGGGTGGGGCATTAGGTGCTGCTGTTGAATATTATGTAAATGAGTTGAGAGGAGTGCTGCCAGCTCAGGAGGTGATGGTAGCCTAGTCTGGGCAAGAGGATCGTTATTTGCTCCACCGTGGGGTATGTGTGGTAATGTAGAGCTGTCACTTTGACTGTTGATGGATGAAATCCACTCTGGAGTTTTTGTAAAACTGTAATGAAAAAAAAAACTTTTGACTTATAATAGATAGGATTTTTACTTTAGTATATATATTCTACATTTCAAGCATATTTACATTAAAGAGTTTTTCATTGTGTTTAAATTGCTGAAAATAAATGAACAGTACATTTCCTTTTATATTATCACTGGAATCTATATGTCCAAATCTATAGATCTACTGCAAAACAGGTTGACAGTAATGTAATAATATAACAATTTCAGCAAAAAAATAAGTGAAAACATCTTTCTTAAATATACCTGTAATTTATTACATTTTAACATTGATAAAATCAATTTATAAGAAACCAAACATTTAACATATTTTTACAAAAGATAAAAAATTATTTGATGAAAGAAACATGCATTATATATAAATGGTAAATTTCTCTCACAAAACAATGTTATAGAAATACTTTGGGTGTATAATTTATAATGTTTTTTTAAGTAACTCATGCATTAATGTTTACTAATTTACCTGTTCATATAATCATGAAACTGTTTAAGATGAGACATAGCAGCTGTCTCTATAGAGGCCTCTGTTACTTCTCCATGATCTTTTTCTGTGGAATGTGATATCATACTTTCCCCACCAGGACTAAATGTGGGCTGTGTATATTGCCTGAGAACCGGGCTAAACTGATTGGCTACAGATCTACTTGGACTCTGTTCATTGGCTAATTGTTGTGTGGGACTAGTTTGATTGGCTGATCTGCGTGGAGGAGTGGTCTGATTGGTTAATGGTCTAAATGAACTGTTCTGATTGGCTGGTTGTAAATTTGGTGCACATAAACTAAAGTTGACAGATGGAGCAGATTGCGCAGAGATGACTGAAACAGCATCGTCTTCTACAGCTGGTTCCCTATTATGTGTCAGCTCTGCTGGTACCCTGTTTTGGGTTGACTGTAAAACATAGAAGATCAACTTATAATATGAGATCTAAAATGTTCACGTACTTAATGTGGCAACAAAACAAATAAATAATCACTTGAATAAATGAGAATGAGTCCATATACAGATATAGCACTTTTAGACATATATATACTATGAAATAAATAGGAGGTATAATTTAGAAATCTATGTTTTAACAATTACAGCATTAGTAAACTCTGTATACAATTTTTCAAGAAGTGTACTCACACATGAAAATTAATAGTCCAAGTCCCTTGCAAGACTCAAACTAACAGTCAGTGTTATCATTTTCATCTGCAGCAACAGATATGCCAACACAAAACAAACGATTTTGGTCAAGGTAAAGGGTGGACATTTTAATCTACAGGTTGAAAATACAACCAATTTTATCAGCATTTGAACCTATGATACAATGTACATATCGTCAATCTGTTAATACTGAAGGACCTGAAAGTGGTGTCTGGCTAGTGGTTTGAAATCAACAGCCATAACCACTTGGCAACGGACACATTTTTATATTATATAATGAGAAAAAAAATAATTGAAGAAATAAAATCAGAGAGAAACTTACTCGTCTTTGAGGTGTAGCAGAGAGTAAAGACAATGCTTCATTCCACTGTGTTTGCATGGCATACTGTAATTTTGTTAATATCTCCAACCTGTGATCAACATAATGAAGTATAATCCTGCGACTGATCAATGAATTATCTCTATAACCTTAAATAATAGCCAAATCATTTAGTATGAGTCCTGTGAACTGGTATAGTAGTTTAGTACCAATTGGTGTCAGACAATTGTTTATTTTGTAACAGCCACAAGTTCTGATATTAGCCACAAGTTTTGATATTAGTCACAAGTTTTGATATTAGCCACAAGTTTTGATAATAGTCACAAGTTCTGGTATTAGCCACAAGTTCTGATATTAGCCACAAGTTTTGGTATTAGCCAAATATTTGGTATCAGCCCCTTGTTTCTTGATTAGTCTTATGCTGTGTGACTGGTCTTGTGTTTTGGTAAAAGCCATGTGTATTGGGCATCAAAAATATACATTTGTACAGTATCAGCCATAACTTTTGTTATTACGAATATACATATTTTCATGGAAGGTAAGGAAATTGTAACTGCATTACTAAAATTTTAAGACTAACATAATTTAAAAGCAAATTATGAAGTTCTGACATGGCTTAGAATGTCAATTACAATAACCGTATTATAAAACCATTAATAAACTAATTCTTTAACAATTAACAATTATGTACCTGGTAGATTCCAGTTTCTGTTTGGATAATTTAAGATCTGCATTCTCAGTCCTGTATTCTGTCAACCTACAAAACATTGTCAAAACTATCACAACATATGTAGTGAAGAAAACAGCTTCTTTAATTGATTTTCTACATGAATATTGTCATTGCTTAAAGCTACATACCTCCAGGTGATTCAAAATAATAATGATTTGTAGAATTAGTCACCATATTCTTACTGTATGACTAACACAATAAGGGCTATTTTTGCATATTTTGACACCTCTTTTCAGTAATTTTCATGGATTGTAGGTGTCATTTTGCAATGTATAAATTACTTTCTATGTTCATTTCATAATCTTTTTCTTTCAAATTTTTTTTTAATTTTCATAAAAAAAATTAGCGTGAATCTTGAGGCATGCTACTTTAATGACTAACGAGAAATAAATTTACATGTAGAACCTTGAACATGTACTATGCCAATACAAATAGCAATACCAGATCAAGTATAATAGCTTCATTTATTTTTTCAATAGTGATGCAAATAACTATGTACCGTACCTAGCTTCCAGTTCCTGTAACTGTTTCCTAAACTCCTCCTCTTTTCTGTGCATTTCTTCTCTATACACGGACAACTGCTTCTCCATCTCAATACCGTTCTTTTTGCTCAGTTCTAACATTTGTTCCCGATGTTTCTCTCTCATCACATCCTCACTTTTCTCATGTCTCTTCTGTACATCACTAATCTGCTCTGCAATCTGTTATAAATCATACAAATCAAAAGTAATTGCTTTTATGTTCAACTGAAGGATTTTCAATGCTGTTTATGCCTATATTTTTTTAACTTCATTTCCTTATTTTGGGAAAAGTTTGGGGAGGGGGAAAAGTGTTGGGATGGGGTAGGGTGTGAAGATTGTGGATGGGTGACGATGTTTAATTGAGGGTAGGGTATAAGTAACAAAGATGGCACTTATAAGTCTAATTTGCTGAGGTCCACAGTCATGGAAGATCAGGAAACCGAATGTGTTAGCCTTATTAAATAAAGTCGTAACTGGCCATTTAATGATAAAATACACTTATGTCCTACTGTTCACCAGTTCAGGCATCAGATGAGATTGAAGGCACATCTACACAATCAATTCTAGATAATGATTACCCAACATTGTTTGAACAGTTTGATACTGTATTATCTAGTATTATCTACATACACAATAGTTTAATCATTATACTGTTTTATAAGCTCACCTGTTTTTCCATGGTTGAATGCATGTCAGCCTCTAGCACTCTCTGTGCATTCTCGAACTTAGCCTCCATAATTCCCATCTCTACTTTAATACTTTCCTATAACAAGCAAAACATAATCTGAACTAACGGTTCAAAACAATTCATTTATAACATAAATAAAATTTATCAATTATTGTGATTTTACTTTACATAAAGAGCTGGAAGGAGTATTTAAAACCTGAAATTCAGGGAAATACCTGGAAACTCTTACCATTAAGTCTATATCATCAGTTACTTAATGTCTATACTATCACTTACGTAATGTCTATACTATCAGTTACTTAACTCTATCATTTTGATATTGAAATCCACAAAGCTCACAATGAACTATTTATTCCATACTCAAAGTCAGACTAGTCTATTACATAAACTTAAAAGATAAAGTGGAAAAAAAAAATCTATATATATTCAAATTAGACAATAAACTAACTTTTTCCCTGAGGGCGGCATCCAGCTCTAGCTCTAGTTTCTTCACTCTTGTGTTAGCAGTCTGATACTGCTCTATAACTTCCTCTGCTAGCTTCCCTTGTTCTTCATTCTTTGCCTAGAAATAAAATGTACCTAACATTATTTCACATCTTATAAAATATATTCAATAGAATTTTTTCCTATAGGAATCATTATGGTCATATCAGGACTATATTTCTTCCAAATATATTCTACACATATTTACACTTATATTTGTTAGTTACAGGAATCTTACTCTTAAACTGTTTCAAACAAGATGAAAGCTTTTATTTTACAATAATTGAGCATAAAATAAAGTTGTTCAAATTTCAACAAATAAGTTTAGTTTAAGGTATGAGATAGGAATTACCCTTTCAGCTTGCAATATACTATTGCTCTTCTCAGACACCTCCTCAATTCTTTGTAACAGTTCTTGTTCTCTCTGAAACCAGTCATCTTGCTCCTGGTAAAATATACATACATCAATTAACTTTTTTATAAAACCCAATGTTGGGAAACTGATAAAAAGTGCATTTGTTGAAACATAGTTTTTCATAACAGCTCATTTTGTTGAACTTAATGATCAAATTAGAAAATGGCAGCAAGGCCAAGTGGTTAACACTTCCAACTAGAAATCTTATGATCACAAGCCACATGGCTTTGATCCCTTTCAGGGGCAAGACATTTTTTCCTTGCACAAGTTGCTGGTTGGTTTGAAAGTGTGTCTCTATAAGGCTCATACTTTCCTACACTATCAAACTAAAATAAATTCTGTATAAACCAAATTACAAATTATGAAATTGAAGAATAACTTAGAAGTATAAATCCTTGCAAAAATTCCAAACCAAATATTGTATTGTATTCAACTGTTCTATTTTAGTCTTATGTATTGTATTGATGTATACCATATACTGTATTAGATTGTCATGTTGTAATGTATCTTATTGGTGCGTATCATAATGAGTTGTTGTTAAGAATTTTCCTGTGTCTTGTATTTTATCATATTTTATCATATATAGAGTTCTGTACATACCCTATGAAGACGTCTTTGCATCTGGTCAAGTTTTTTGTCGAGGCTTTCTCTAGATTCTCTAAGATTGTCACACTCTTGTTGTACAAGGTCAACTTTCTCCTTCTCCGCCTCTAACAGTTCTTCTGTATGACTCTTAGATCTTTCCATCTCCTGAATCTGTTCACAAAATATCTCACCATTAATTTCATTAATTATCATGCTCACATAGTTAATTTTAATTGACATTTTTCTTACCAGGGATTTTTTTTATCAACAGCTTGTGTTTAAGAGCAAAGTGTCATGTTTATTTATGTATATAAAATATTGTCTGAATGTTTTACACTGCCATTTATGAGGTTTATAATGAACAATTGTTATTGATCTTAAGCAACACTTTATTTTACTACCTATCAATAATCTTGAATCAACTTTACCAGGAATTTACATCATCACATTCTTAGTCTTTTCTAACTTAAGTTTTCAAAGTTTATTAATTTGTTTATAATCGTGGAAACCCATAATGTAAAAAGTGATGATGATGTTCACATGTCTACCAAAACCGGTGAGGTATAAACACATTCACTCTTGACTTATACTTGATAATATTCTTAACATATCAGTATATTGGTAAACAAATATTTTTGGCAAAATTTTTCCTTCCATCTTTAACAAAAATTTGTTTTAGTTTCTAATAATTACTGTTATTTCTACCAAAATCAGAGATCTTCAAGGTTTTTATTTTCAAAATAAAGGCTTTTTAAAGCACTTTTTCAAGGACACCCTAATTTCAAGCACTTTTCAAGAAACAGTTTATTTTCAAGCACTTTTCAAGACACATATCATTTTCAAGCACTTTTCAAGACATGAGCAGACTCTGCTATAATAATCTATGTGGAATATTACATACCTTTTCCTTCAGTTTGTCAGCATTCTGGGCGGCTTTTTCTTTCTCTTGTCTCAGGGCATCAACAGCAGCTGACATATCATGCTCAAAGTTATTGATCATCTAAAAATAGATAATATTATATGGTTATATATACTAATATATAACTAAAAGAAAGTCATGAGCGTGAAATTATACACAGAAAAATCACACAAAAAATCGGCAAGAGTGTATGTACAACTGTTGCTCTAAGAGAAAGAGAAAATAATTATGTTAATTTGCACCCATAGATTCGATATTTAATTTTAAAAGTACTATGTGTGTAAGTTTTATGTTTGCATATGAGAATACTAGAGACACAAGTGTTATATACATGTACATTGCATATTTATGTGAAATAAATGTAGTTTCACATTTTATCCTGTCTTAATCTTCACTATGCTACATGTAGTATGAAACAGATCATGCACATGAGGACACCTAGATCAATCAATTATTATTTAAGTAGATGTTACAATAAGATACCTGTTGTTGCTGTTTTAAATTATTCTCTATTTCTTCTTTTTCTTTCTGTATTTCCTCAACAAAGGCATCTTTTTCCTGATCTCTCTTTCTCCAGCCCTCCATCACTCGTGCTAATTGCTGTAATATTTAATATTAAAACTTTTAATGGTTTCTTTCAAATTAAAAAAATTAAAAAAATTATGCACAACTGTACAGAAAGACATTCCAAGCATGCAACTTTTTTATTCCAATATTGATATAATTTTATCTCACAGATAAACTAGAATATCTGAGTATTTTTATTTGAGTTATTTATTCATCTTAAGCCTATATTCCTGTGTTAAGATCACATTATAAGCAGGAGCAAAGAATATGATGATGCTGAGGTAACCAAATTAAGGACTTACTTATACCTTAAACCTGTGCATAGATTTTAATTCAAATGTAAATTACTAAATTTGTTTCAGTAATATAATATATTCATCTTTATTATGCTGTATCTGTATTTGTTCAAGAAATACATGCAATAAATATGGCAAAATAAACACAGTTAAGTATAACAAATGTCAAAATGCTTTAATTTCTTTGCTCAAACAAATAACTGCATGCTCCGCTTTTCTCAGTGCCAGACTGTAAACTGTTAACATTGTTGCTGATATTAAAATGGTGATAGTTTTGCCACTTGGAAGTATTGTCTATTAACATGAAGTTAAGCAAAACAGGTTAACCAACTTCCCTGCTGTCAGTCATACAAAGTTGAATTATAAATAATTTAATAAGAGAATAAATGAGCCGCGTCACGACAAAACCAACATAGTGCGTTTGCGACCAGCATGGATCCAGACCAGCCTGCGCATCCGCAAAGTCTGATCAGGATCCATGCTGTTTGTTTACAAACCCTACAACAAGTAGAGAAACTGATAGCGAACAGCATGGATCCTGATCAGACTGCGCGTATGCGCAGGCTTGTCTGGATCCATGCTGGTCGCAAACACACTATGTTGATTTTGTCGTGACGCAGCTCAAATGACATCATACAAACCTTGTCAAGCTGTTCAATCATAATATCTTTCCTCTTGTCTGTGGATACAGCTACTGCCACCTGTTGCTGGGTTTCCAGTAGCTAAATAATATACAATACACAACACATATTATCCAAACTTATCTGGTTAAATCTATAGTTTCCTACCTAGCTATTAGTAAAACGTAGATATGGAGAAATGTAATTTATTACATTGAAATTTTAAATATATCAGAATTAATGTGACTATACCAATCTCATGAGTAAACTATACTAATGTCTTTGTTATATCAGAATTTTCACATAAGCTAGGTCCATACACTTGGATATTTAACTTGTCATCATTTAATAATTGTATAATAATTACATACACAGACAACTCTGGTCAATCAGCAAATTAATGCAATATCACATGACTTTCCTGTTGGCTGATTTTCATACTTAAACCCCTTCCAAAACTAATGAGCAGAAACTTATTATTTCAAATCCATTGAACTGAAGTATGTTAGAGTAAATAAATATATAATATTTTTTCACAGACTTACCTTTACATTTAACTGTTGAATATACTGTTCACAATGCTGAAATATACAAAACATCATTATTACTTATTGATAGTGTGAAACTTTAATATCTCTTAACCTTCAGCCTGATGGTGGCTACAGAATATACCCATGTTATTATATAAACCCAAATGCATTTATATAATTTCAACTTCACATACCCATTTTTGTTCAAAGAAACACTGAAGCTGTTAAGGTGTTAAGACATCTTTTCTGCTTTGCTGGTGGATGACCTACAGTGCATTAGTCCAATCAAGAGAAGGCAATGAAAGGAACCATCGACCTTCACATATGGACAGCCTCCAACATAAAAAACTTATGTTCTTGGTCCGATTTTAAAACCAAAAGCAAACCCAGAAGAATTAAGGTCAATAACCTTATCAACTCTGCCACAAAGATTTTATTTATAATAAAATAAATGATTTATTTTTGTAAATCGTATAAACGCCAAGGCATTTTAAAACAACCTTTCTACGATATCGTTCCTTCTCTAGCATGTCTCGAAGTCTCTGGTTTTCTGCATGAACAGAGACATCAGTACGTGAAGCGTTGCCGCTGTCCGTAAAATACTGCGATGTGAAACTCTGAAAATTCTCCATTAAATCATCTTCACCAGATTTTCTGTTCAAAAAAAAAATGGAGATACACTAACCGGTAGTTTGCGATCTTATTTCGGAAATGACAGATTTATAGAGATCAAAATACCCATCATCAAAGCATCAAAATAAATTAAAATTAAATATTCCTCTACACCACTAAAAATATCAAATTTCTTCATTACTAATTGACAATTAGTAATTTTATAGAGCTGGAAAAGTCTGATTTTGAATTACATGTCTGTTTTTATTTGAATCAGTCTATGATATGTATAAAGTAAATCCATACAAATTTGCCAATACAGACAATTGATTTTGTGCCACCCCTGAAATTGTATCATAAGAATTTAAAATTCCAGTCAAAAATATAAAAAAAATTATTTCTAAACTGCCCGTACATAACCGTTTTATTCAATTATTACCTAATCATATTCCAGGAAGTTTCTAGTGGCGGCCTGTGATGGTCTCCATAATCTACTCCAAACCCTGCTATGATATCTGAATGCTCGTACTGACTCCGGTCTGAAAGTAAGAAATGACAAAATAAAGTAGGGCATTAGTAAAACTTAAAAATCTGTGTACAAGTAACATACATTAATAATAATATATACATGTATACTTGTATATACAACATGGTTATAACTTCCATTCATTATAGTTTTTGCAGAGTGATTTAAATACATGTAGTTGTATGTAATCCCTAAAAAGACCCTAAACTAAAGTCATTGCAAGCTAAGTTGGATCAATTATAACATAACATAAAGTATACCTTGTGCAGACATTTTGTCATGTGACATTTTCATCATTCCCTGTAACTGTTGCCGCACTTCCTCCATACCCTTTATATCTAGACTAGCATCGCCAATACCCGAACCCTGGTTCAATATAACATACATGGTGCAAGTTAAAAATATCAGATAACCGGAAAACCTTGAATTTAATATTATTTCAATTAGTTTTATATAGAAAAAAAAAAAAAAAAACTTTGGGCAAATGCCTGAAAACTTGTACTCACGCCGAACAAACATATTTAAAACAACAACCTTTAAATTAAATGATTTCAAAAATATTACATACACAATGACAGAATTTTTTTTTTATTTTATTCAAGAAGAACTGAATATGACCGTTGCGCACACCTCAATAGTCAATTAGTCAAAACCATCATTATTAGCAACATCAATAACGGGTACTATCATCAGTGATAAATATATCTGGTCTTATCAAATAAAGATAATAGAAACTATCAAATAAATACATATAACAAAGTTTAGGTAAATATATGACCCGACTGAAACACAGAAATAATAATAATACATGTCTAGACTATTCCTGCCTAAATTTTATAACATTAAGTCTTATCATTGTGACAAAGTTTGATTAAACATCTCATATCCTTAAAGAGAGGACAATGTCAACTGATTAACTTTGAGAAATAATAATCCTTATGTTGGCAATTAGCGTTAAAATATTTTCACAAGTACAGGATAAAATACATATTAACATCTCTTAAGATTTCTCACTGTATATTTGTGATAAATAAGCAAACAAATGAATTTTCCTCTTTGATGTCATTTTTTCCTGATAATACAATTATGAAAAAAAGTTATTAGAAAAGAAATAAAAAACTTCTATAGTAAAATTAAATACAGAATTAAGTGAATATCCATTATATTAATTAAGATACTGTCACTTACAATACTTAATAAAACATACATTGTATAAAACAGTAAATTTATAATTCATTCAAATATGCATTTTGCTCAACAAGAATTTAATTGTCCTATACTACTAGTTCAATCAGTAGGAATATTTAAGCTAAATCTGTTAAAAAGCATGTCATTATCAGAAGTACCGGTATACTTGATTTTTATTTGAAATGAAAGTTATGTAGTTTTTTTTTGGCGTGAATGCCTTTCAAAATTTGTGAAAATACAGCAAGCTTGCAGTAACAAATATATATTATGCTGAAATTTCATATTTGAAAATACAGATAATTGTTTTACAGTCTCTTTTTAAATGTAAATAAACTTCTTTTCTTAAGTACATGCAGAGATGATACACATGGGGGGGGGGGGGGATAAAACTAGCATATTCAAAGCTTCACACTAATTAAACCCTAGTAGTTTGTCTGCATTATCTTATATCTAAGCATATTAGCAAATTGATACGCATCAACAAACATTCTCTTACCCATATGAGACCATGTTAAAATATTAGAATCATGAAATCAGGTAAAATTCAAGAAATAATTTGTCTCTTAGTGCAAAAGCTAAACTGTAAATTTATAGTATCGTTGAACAGATATAAAATTTGAAAAAAAAAGACCCATTTACCAGACAAATCTAAATAATAATAAAAAAAAATACCAGACAAATCTAGTATTATATTCTGACACTGTCAACTAAAGCCTAGCAAGCCTACCTGTCTACGTGCTATATTTTGTCTTGGCAGTTCTACTGGTACAGGACTGGTTGTTTCTACCTGAGTAACAATACGTCCATGACTTTCATCCTCTAGACTGTGTGCACTTCTATTGTGACCTTCACCTCTAGCATTCAAATGACCTTGACTATTTTGACTGAGTTGACCTCTAGTAGCATTCCCTTGACTCTGGTTTGGAACAAACTGGTGTGCTAATTGAGAACTAAACCTAGACTGTGATTTTTTTTCTACTGCGTTATTTGAGTAGTTATTCCTTGACTGGTTAACAGTTTTTTGTTTATTATTTAAAGATTCATTTGATACAGATTTTAGTTTGGTTTTGTCTGAAACCTTAAACTTAGGACAAGTTTCACTTGTAAGAGTTTTTCTTGCACCAGAACAAGCAACATTTTGACCTTTTGGAGCCATATCAAAAGGTTTCTTAAATTCTTTTGACTGGGTACTAGCAACAGGTTTAGATGGTCCTGGCGCACTGGATACAAACTTTTGAGTAGTTTTATTTCTTTGGGATACTGTTTCTTGCAGCAATCTTGATGTTACTGGTAACTGAGACTGGCCACTTGCTTGAGCAGATTGTGACTGTTTTTCACTGTCATCGTCCTGTCTTGAAGAACTAATCAGAGAATTTTTAGAATTCAATTTGTGTTCTTCACCATCATTTTTAATATTTGTATCAGTCTGCTCTATATGTATATTGTCAGGATTTTCAGAATTTTCTGTGGATTCAAAATTGTGTAACTGGTGACCATTCTTTGCACCAGAGCTCTTTCTATGTTTAGTATCATTTGTGTCTCTTGACTTTGCAGAAGCACCCATGACTTCAATATTGTGCTCATTACACTTTCCTTCTCTATCCCTAGAACCATCATTTACTTCCTCTGCATTGCCTTTAAGCTTGGTAACTTGATTTTGTAGAAGATCCATTACTTTTCCTGGACTTGACTTTGGTATATTTTCTACTACAGGTGGACTAGTACCTCCAGAAGCTGTGACATCGGAATGGAATCTTAATTTTTCCTCTCTTTCAAGTTGCAAATGTTCATTAGAAGCAAACCTCTCATCACGAGAGGTGTTTGCAGATAAAGTGTCATACGTTGCTTGTGGAAGTTTAACTGAGACTTGAGTTCTCTGTAAATATCTTTTCTCAAAAGCTGAAGGTGAAACTGGAGCAAAATGGTCACTTCTATCTGAACATGCCTGAAGTTTCTGAGGTCTTTCATTTAAATCATTATCAACACCATCACCTTGTCTGCTATCAATATCTGATAGATCCTCTTGTTTATCTAAGAAATGATTCTGTTTACCCCTGCTGACTAAATACTCATCACTTGTGACTTGCTCAAAATATTCATTCAAATTTTTTGGAACCGTTGCTGGATTAAAACTGTGAGGTTGTTTTTCAATAGGTTTAAAGCAGTTTTCTGTGCCCTGCTTTCCAAAATAAAACTTTTCTCGGCTGCTACTATTACTGTTTTGGTTCTGTTGGTACCCATTTTGATCACCTAATCCTAAAATTTCCCTGTCAAAAGGATGGAAGTCTGACTGGTTTTTAGAAGGTGACATAACAAACTGGATCTCATCTTGGTCATCTTGTGGTTCTGCTTGACCTTTTGGTGATGGTCGACCTCTAGGTGACCTTTTATCTGCAGATGACCCATATTTCTTTGTGTAGAAATTATTTTGTCTTGGTGAATGTAACGGTGGCGTTACACTATTAATTTGTCTATCGGCATAAGAATTGGATCTCATTGGAGAAAATATATCCCCATTATCGCACATAGCAGCTTGATTTCCAGTCTTCCCAACAAAGTTGTCCATAAATTCTTTGCTAAGCCCATGGGCTGAGGGATGGAATGGTCCAGTATTTGTAAGATCATTGTCAGCTTCCCCTTCCAATTGTCTAAATTCTGGAGATTCACTATCCCTCATTCCATTTATCAATTTATCCGAATCACTCGAATCACTATAGTCGGCTTCTACATCTTCATCGTTCTCAGTATTTGGTGGATGGCTATGCATGCTGCTATAGTCATAGTTACTTGGTTTATGTCCTGATTTATTTGGAGTAGAGACAAATCTACTACTATTTATATAGCTATCTTCCATATGTGAGCTTTGATCAATATCTGAAAATGTTAGAGTACGCACAGGTGCAAATAGTTCTCCAGTTTCACTCAAGTTAGCACCAAATCCTTGGGATACTGACGGAACAAGAGCAGGGCTTCCATCTGGTCCAGAACGTTGACGCGAATTTGACACAATAACATCAGGTTGGAAACCATCTCTTAACCCAGCATTTCTTTTGCTTGCCATTGATGAAACTTTTAATTCTTTAACCTTAATGTCAGTAGACTTAGACTTATTCTTCACATTGACATGTTCATTTATCACAACGTTTTGCTCAATTAATTCAATTTCTGTAAAAGCTCGAGGAAAGAAAGATGGATCTGTATCACACACTTCCTTAGCTTTAGAATTCAGTTCACCATCTAAAAACTGTATAAGGCTATCACTCTGTATATTTCTAACAAAATTATTCTCTTCAGAACAAGCAATAACAAAGTTTCCAGCCCTGTTTGGGGATGATGCAACTTCAGGAATACAATCATTCATTTGCACTGGTTTGTGACATCTGTCTTGAAGGTTTTGGGTTTCATAAACTTACAGTTACAAATCTGAAAAACATGATATTATCATCATTATGTATACAAAACAATGTTGACAATTTTTGTACAATTAAGAAGATAAATTTCCAAAATATATTTAGAGATAAAATTATTTCAGTCTGTATGAAATGATACAAAAATCTCAGGCACACAGTATCAACACTAACAGCCTAAACAGGTCCCAGGATTCCAACGATCCAAAAATATTCCCTATTTATCTAGATCCAAGATCTGAAAACAATTGTTCATATTTGGACGGCGATAACATACTCTGGGAATTAAATATCAATATTAAAACTATCTCATATTAGAATATGACACAATATTCAATCGTACATGTCTAAATCAATTTACCCACCAAAAGCAATTCAACAGAAATAATTTATTGAATGTCGCGAATTTACATGACAATTTATGTTAAGGGTAAGATTCATTCTAAATATGGATGCTCAAGTAAGTTAAAACATAGCAAAACCTTTTAAAATTAAATCTTGTTTAAATTCCTTGCTTTCCACAGGCTTTTTAAACGTTTGATCACCGGTAAATTAATAGGATTATTTTGTTTGTTTGGACCTGTCACAACAAATCCAGACCGAGGCTGGTAATGTAAATCCAATGCATTGTCTCGGTCCTTTCCATTGTTGTGAAAAATAGCCGAGGTCTTCCGATAATTTGCTTTATGATGTCTATAGAAACATCATATTATTGTCAAAAGTAAAAGAAAGCGACAAATAAAAAATAAATAAATAAACCCCCAAAAGATTTTACGGACTTACTAAAAACTCCGCAACACAGCCATATGCACCTCACACGATTGCCAGATTAATTGCCCTTACACGTGCAAATAAAAAGAAAAAGGATTTTGTTTCCAATAACAACGATGGTAGCCTAGACGATGAAACTGAATTGTTTTACAAAGTACTGGATTATACTTAAAAAAGGTTATCAACAGTAAGAAACAATTTGACAATATATCCAGTTTTCAGTTTTTTGATTAAACCAAGGCATACACTTAACAAAAGTTCTAACCGATCACTTTTTAAATTTTGATTATTTTATAACGGGTCAATAGATCCTTATAAACTTTTGCAGAGGTGATTTTTGTGTCATTTTCTACCGATTTGTGGAAAGAAAAATAATTTAATACGGTTCCATGCACTCAAGCGGGAGACAGGGTGCGGTTTACACATTTTGGCACGAAATGTTCGTGCAGAGCGTGGTAAGTATTAAATTTAACATTGCAGTGAAAAAAACATAAAACATGGCACGAATGTCGATGCAGGATCGTGCCGTAGCAGTTGGAATGTTGAATGCTGGAGCCTCTATCAGACAGGTGAGTGGCTGTTCATATTTTTTTTTTTTTTTAAATATCGATAAAGTATTATTTAAATAGAAAAACGTTATAATTTTATTATTCTCAATATGTTCAGTCTCTTCGAAATAAGATAAAAGTCGGATCTATTGGTATTATTCTTTTTCATATATAAGCAAAAACTCAGGGTGATCGGTTAGAACTTTTGTTCAGTGTATATAATATGCAACTAGTTATAACAACAATTAAACAAACAGAAAAATAACAGTCAAAAATCACTAATATCACAATATAAGAATACAATTATGACTAGCTAAATAAACAAAAAAAAAGGAGATCATATTGTTCATTTCAAGTACTGAATTCAATACAACATACATGTATTTTACATTTTCACAAATGGGAACGGAGAATGAGGAGTATTAACAGAGACATAGATAACATAGATATCTATGTCTCTGGTATTAATTATCTAAATTTTAACATAATGTTTTTACAAAATAAAGATAATTTTAGTAGAATCTTTTTATCACAACTATTCATTAATCTGTCAAGTTTAAAAATATTGGGATGAATGTAAAACCTGGGAAGAAGAGATTTAAATTACGTCTTGTGTCATTAAAGTACGAACATTCAAATAAATAGTGAAATTCATCACCAATAGCTTGATATGGACATAAGGAACAGAGCCTATTATTATGATCAAGTGCCAAATGTCTGCCTTTTTCAATTGGTATTGTTTGGTTTTATTAACCTGTCAATTACATACTGATTACACGGTCGATGCACACAGTATATTAATCTTCGGTAGATGTTCGGTAAGTTCCGTGAGATGTATGCTGTACGACAGAATTGAAATTTAATTTGTATCTCTAAACTGAGTGTACTCAGCGTTATAGCGCAATAGGGTAAATCAAGAGTTTATAATCTAAGTGCCACACGTGTTTTAAGTTCGAGGCCGCGTTGGTCCATGTTTTTTTCTTATTAATATTTTCATCATTATTGAATCTATATATGATTATTTTATGTTTTATGTTGTTCGTTTTGTTTGATTATGTTTTTCTTAATTTTGTTATGTATATACTCTTTTTAAATAACATGTTTTTTAAGAATTCATGTTTAAAATTAAAACCGATTAAAATCAATAAATGTCTTTTCAATGCCGCAAAACATACTAAAAATCTGTTCCATTAAAATATACTGCAAAAATAAAGAAAGAGTACTAAAACAATGGCAACAGTAAGGATCGAACCACAGCCCTCTCAATTATCAGGCATTCTCTTAACGCTTAGCGCTCCAGCGGTGGACTTATCATATATATAAAAAATTCCATAAGAAAAGGTGTTAAAATGGTTAAAAATGACATTGATTGTCTGGTATGGTTGAAATTTGATAAATCGTTCTTTCACATAGAAAATGACATTTATTTAGCAGTTGTATACATTGCACCAGAACATTCCCCGATTCACGATAGGTACGATGAAGATATTTATAGGCACATTGAAAATGATATAAATATATTTAGCAATAAAGGAAAAATATTCATTACTGGAGACACTAATTCGCGCATTGGCCAGAAAAGTGATTATATAACATATGATAGACATATAGGACAAACAGATATTTATACGATTGACCCATATTTGCCACGGACTTCTTGTGATTTTGGTTCAAATCGCTTTGGCGATCGTTTACTTGACCTTTGTAAATCAACCAATTTTCGGGTAGTTAATGGTAGATTGTATAGAGATAAAGGCATAGGCAAATTTACCTGTATGACATATAACGGAGAAAGCGTGGTCGATTATCTGGTGACGTCACAGTTAAACTTTCAAGATTTAGCCGATTTTTATGTGCATGATTTCAATGAATTTTCTAACCATGCCCCGATGTCATTTTCATTCAAAGTTAACTCGATTCCAAGTACGATAAAAAAGGAGCCAACTATTTCTTATAAATGGAAACCATCACAAAGGGATGCATTTATAAATGACGTATCACATGATATACAAAACATAGAAACTATTTTACAAGAGCAAATAAACAACGGAGATAGTACCGATACATTAACTAAGACTTTCACGGACTTTTTAAACGATAAAGGCAAACAGTACTTTGAAACTAAATCAGTTGCACGAAATAATTATTTTGTGCATAATGACTCAAATCTGAAGAAATGGTTTAGTGATGAATGTAAATTAAAGAGAGAAAGTTATTTACAGGCAATTTATGACTATAATTTAGAAAAAAACGAAAGCACTAGAAATATCCTGCATGAAAAGAAACGTGATTACAAGAACACTTGTAAAAAGCATAAAAGAAGCTTTAATAAAAATGTCGGTAAAAAAATGAATGATATGAGAAGAAAAAATCCACGAGAGTTTTGGAAAACATTTAAAAAGAAATCTTCAAATCCAAATGGTGAAAATATAACTGTTGAAGAATTTTATGATCATTTCAAAAACTTGTCTTCTAATACAATGCTTAGTGAAAATATGGAATGTAATGACTTTTTGTCGCAATTTGATACAGCCCCAGACTCCTATGGAAGTTCCTTCGCTGAACTGGATCAACCAATCACAAAAGAGGAAATAATATCCGCCACCAAGAAACTCGGTTGTAATAAGGCGTGTTCATTAGACAATATCCTATATGAATATTTCAAAGAAAGTGTATTTGTAACGGCACGTTCAATTGAATTATTGTTTAACCACATATTAAATACAAAAGTGTTTCCTCGTAGCTGGTCAACAGGAGTAATAATACCAATATATAAAAAAGGTGATTCGTCTGACCCGAATAATTATAGAGGAATAACATTGATTAGCTGTTTTGCTAAATTGTTTACAGTTATCATAAATGAACGATTGAAACGTTGGGCTGAAAACACAGACACTTTGACAGACGCACAATTCGGTTTTAAACCGAATTACGGTACTATTGATCCTATTTTTTATATTAAATGCTTTAATAGAAAGACAATTTAGAACGAAAAATAAAGCTCTTTTTGTTGTTTTGTGGATTATAAAAAGGCGTATGACTTAATTGACAGAAATTACCTTTGGTATAAGCTCATAAAGACCGGGGTGGACGGAAAACTGTTCTCTATTATACGGTCAATGTACGAAGATGTTAAACTTTGTGTAAGACATTTAAATAGTTTGTCAGATTTTTTCAGCTGTGATGTAGGTCTCTTTCAAGGGGAGATCACCTCGCCGATCATGTTCTCTATATTTTTGAATGATATTGAAATGTTTTTACAAGAAGACCCAAATGCTTGCATTACACTAGACCAGATATCTATGTATTTGTTGTTGTTTGCGGATGATGCCGTTCTTTTTTCTGAATCCAAAGAAGGTCTACAAAACAATATAAATAATTTACAATTGTATTGCAAAAAATGGAATTTAACTGTAAATGTTGATAAAACTAAAATTGTTGTTTTTAGAAAAGGCGGTCAATTAAGTAGAGAGTTCAAATGGTCATATGACGGAATTGATATAGAAATTGTTCAAAACTTCAATTATTTAGGAATTGTATTTTCTAGTGGCGGTTCATTTGTACCAGCAACAAATACCCTTAGTGGAAAAGGCTTAAGGGCAATGAACTCTTTACTTAACATTACAAAAGAGTTAGATATATCTATAGAAATAATGTTCAATTTGTTCGATGCGTATGTTTTATCTATTTTGAATTATAATTGTGAAGTATGGGGCTTTAATAAAGCAGAAAATATTGAACGTGTGCAAAGAAAATTTTGTAAATGGTTATTAAATGTTAAAATGTCAACAAATACTCTATCATTGTATTCTGAACTAGGTAGATTTCCATTGTATTTTGAAAGATATGTTAGGATAGCAAAATATTGGTTAAAGTTACACGGCGATAAGAGTCAAAACTGTATTTTAACAACTATTCTAAGTTCTCAAAGAAATGATATATCAAATAACTCAAATGTTGTCAACTGGTCATCAAAAGTTCGAGACATGTTACAAAACGCTGGATTTGCCGAAGTATGGTTATATCCAGAATCGGTTAATATTAAAATTTTTATACCAGTATTCAGATCACGTCTCAGGGATATATATGTAACCCACTGGCGAGCAGACATGGCGTTATGCTCTTCCTTGCAATTGTATTCAAATGTTAAAGTTAAATATGAAAGGTCTATTTATCTTAAATTATTAGAAAATGCAAAATACAGATCAGTTCTTGCAAAAATTAGATTAAGTTCCCATAAACTACATATTGAATCTGGAAGACACAGGGGTATTGAAAGAAGTCAGAGAA